AACATAAAAATAGCCGAAATTGTACTCAAATTACTGAAATTACCATTGCATTTGTTCAAAATTACCCTTTTCAATTTAATCAATTTAGTTATAAAACAATGACAATTTGAGTAATATTGAAATCAATTTTGGACATTCTCCTAAATGAATTTCTCTTTTAATATTATAGAGATATCTTAAAATTCTAAACCCTAAAAAATATTTTGACACCTAAAACCCCATAAACACTCAAAACTAAATCTAATAGAACATAATTAACCTAAATATAAATAATATAAAGAAAAAATAATTTTGAAAAAGTGGTATTTTTGTAAAGATTTCAAAAGTGTGGCATTTTTGTAAAGTGACATTTGAAAAGTAGCATTTTTTGAAATTTCTCTAGTTGTTTTGATTTTATTTCTCTTAAATAACCGAAAATTCGTGTTTGAATCAATTTAACTAGAATTTTCTCACTTACATCCAAAATTTAAAAAAATACAAACCCTAAACTTCGAGGAGCTCTAAAGTAAAATCCTTAAACAAAACAAAAGCAACCGGGTTGTTGTATTTGTTGACAAAGGCCCAATAAAATTAAAAACCTAAAATGGGCTTATCCGGGTCGGGTCGGGTTAAAAAAACCAGGGTCGAGATTTCAACAGAAACCCTTAAGGCGACTAAAACCCCATTCTTGATTATTGTCGTCTCAGTGTGTGGCTCGAGCCATCTTCTTCTCTTTTTCTTGTAAAATCAAAATGGCTTCAGTTCTTCTTCGAAACCCTAGCTCGAAGCGTTTTGTTCCATTCTCTTCTCAGATCTACTTGCGTTGCGGTGTTTCCTTTCCTTCGTTTCACTCGATCTCTCATTCAATCGGAAGAGATGATGATCTCTCTCCCTCAATCTTCGGTACTTCTTTCTGGAGATCGATGGCCACTTTTACTCGAACGTAAGTTTTGGTTTTTGCTCTCTATTTCCCTTGATTTTGAATTGGTTTGGTACTTGTGCGTTAGTAGATTTGGAAAAATGTGTGAGTGAATCTGATTGATTGATGAGTCTTAATCTCTGTTTATTGCAGAAAGCCTCATGTGAATGTTGGTACAATTGGTCATGTAGATCATGGGAAGACTACGTTAACTGCTGCAATCACAAAGGTCTTTACTTTTATACATTTTTTTTTTTTTGTTATACGAAACTTCCAAATTTCATGTTGATAAAGCGATTCTACTTGTGTTTTAGGTTCTTGCTGAGGAGGGAAATGCTAAAGCTGTTGCTTTTGATGAAATTGATAAAGCTCCTGAAGAGAAGAAGAGAGGAATTACAATTGCGACGGTTTGTGTTTATCTTCTTGTCTCAGGTTTCTCATCTCGAAGCCAATATTTTTCCTGTGGTATTTTACATGGTTTTACTTGATTCTGTAGGCTCATGTGGAGTACGAGACTGCGAAGCGTCACTATGCTCATGTGGATTGCCCTGGGCACGCTGATTACGTTAAAGTAAGATGCCAACATTCGCTTTACTTTGTATAGATAATAGTGTACACAGTCTCCGTTGTATATTTGGTTCTAACACTGAAACGCTACATGTTATGCATTTTCGAAAGTCTTTAACTCGAATATATTAATCATCGCTTTGAACTATGATTACTGGAAGGGTTATTTTCTAGGAATGCATCATGATCTAATATATGTGAACTGTATATGGATTTCATTGGAATTACTTTGATAAACACTTGAGTCTCAATGCTTGAGTTGTGCTAACTTTCAGAATATGATTACTGGAGCTGCACAAATGGATGGTGGAATTCTTGTGGTTTCAGGTGCAGACGGACCTATGCCCCAGACCAAGGAACATATTCTACTTGCACGCCAGGTTTGCATCATTACAATCTGAACACTTGAAGCTACTGAAAATGAGTTAGATATTGGCTACAATTTTAATTATGTGATGTTCCACAGGTTGGTGTTCCCTCGCTTGTGTGCTTCCTGAACAAAGTTGATATGGTGGAAGATGAAGAGTTATTGGAGCTTGTAGAGATGGAACTACGTGGTTTGTAGATTTTTTATGTCACAAAATTTATTTATTTCAGTATATGAAGTAAGTACAAGCTTTCTGACATCAACTCTTGTCCCCATTCAGAACTTCTCACCTTCAACAACTTTCCTGGGGATGATATTCCCATTATCCGGGGTTCTGCACTGTGTGCATTGCAGGGCACAAAAGATGAAATTGGAAGGCAAGCTATATTAAAGCTAATGGATGCTGTTGATGAATACATACCTGACCCTGTTCGTGTGCTCGACAAGCCTTTCTTGATGCCAATTGAAGATGTTTTCTCGATTCAAGTAGACTAATCTGTATCCTTGTTGTTTTCTTCATTTACTCATTTGTTTTTCTTTTTGAAAAATCAGTTTTGATGCTTCTTTCCTTTTCTTAAAGGGGCGTGGAACTGTTGCAACTGGTCGTATTGAACAGGGAGTCATTAAAGTGGGTGAAGAAGTTGAGATATTGGGTTTAAGTCAGGTGAGCGTGCATGGATATTGGGTTTATTCTGTCAGAAAGTGATTATTACTGTCTGCTATAACAACTGGGCATTTTCTTAGTCTAACTGTGAGATTTGATTTTCAGGGGCCTCCACTGAAATCAACTGTAACTGGTGTGGAGATGTTCAAGAAGTTGTTGGATAATGGACAGGTAAAGGCAATTTCGAAAGATTTACAAAGACATGTTTTCGGCATATAAGATACTGATTAAACCTCGGCTTTCATTATGTTAGGCTGGTGATAATGTAGGACTTCTATTGCGTGGGCTAAAGAGAGAAGATATCCAGCGTGGAATGGTAAGTTTAAGCATCCTTATGACGACCTGATGATAGTAGTTGTCCTTTTTCTTCGTGTTCTGAATGGTTTACTTAGGGTCAGTAATAAGACACACGGAGCAAGACAAAATTCACTAACTTTTTCCTCTGCGGTTTCTTATCAGGTGATTGCCAAGCCTGGTTCATGCAAGACATACAAGAGGTTTGAAGGAGAGATTTACGTGCTCAAAAAGGAAGAAGGTGGACGTCACAAAGGTTTTGTCACCAACTACAGGCCTCAGTTTTACCTGAGGACTGCAGATATCACTGGAAAAGTAGAATTCGCCGAAAGCGGGAAGATGGCTATGCCTGGTGACAATGTCACTGCGGTTTTCGAGCTTATCGTGCCGGTCCCACTCGAAATAGGTCAAGAATCTTACGAACACTCTTTTGGTTCTTCAGCAAGTTCATTTTCAAACTTTCTAATGTTTTTCTCTTGTGAAACAGGTCAAAGATTTGCCTTGAGGGAAGGAGGTAGAACAGTTGGAGCTGGTGTTGTATCAAAAGTGATAAGTTAAAGCAACTCAAACGCACATTCTTCTCCTTTGTTTTTTCCTCTAGGAATCCATAAACTATGAGAATTTGTTTTGCTGTTTTTTTTTTTGAGATTTGAGATTTCAAATAACAGAGAGAAACATAATTTAAGTTTCCAACGAGAAAGATTAGGGCACTTTTTTTTGGTTGTTGAATTGGTGCTTCCTACTTTGTGAAACTTAAAATAGCCACTTCCAATTCTCACTTCTCTGGTTTTTTCAGTGTTTGATTTTTTTTTTATAATTTCCCCAGCAAAATATTGTGAATACTATCCTTAACGAATGAGATTTTTGTTCTTTTTAAGTTTATATGCTTCTTGCTTCATGATATTTTTCTTGGTGGTTTGTTTTAATATTAGTCATGGAAATGTAACAATGATAAAAAAATTTATGAAATATATCTCACTGCAAAATTCTTAGACCTTTATCTTAAGGTTCTACAACACACAATATCATCTTCACATTTACAAGCTCAGAACTAAACAAGCTCTAGTCATTTACAAACGACATTTTGAGCTTTCTATGGAGTAGTACGTCAAGATTTTAAGCTCTCACTGCGAGTTTTCAACATGCAAACCTAAGCGCAAACACTGCGATTACTGTGGCAGCTCTGAAGTAAACCTCCTTGATGCTTTTCTCCACATTGTTTATGATTTCTTCACCCTTCAAACTTGAACATGGCTTGTTTGCTTTCTTATTGACATTAACAATCACCTCCCTGAGTCTATTCACAGCCCAAGACAGTATTATCAAACTGAAACCAAGTCCAGTGTCGAAGAACTTGTTTGCGCAAAAAGGTATTTGACTTGAAGCAAGGCTACATGCCACAGAGAAGAGCACAGCGATTCCAGTTCCAGCAACACTGATAGAAAACTGAGTCAGAAGCTCTGAGAGTTCTCCGCATGATCTCTGTAAAGAGAGTACTGTTGTTTGTTTGTGTTGATGATCATTGCCTATCATTAAAGACAGAAGGCTCTCGTAAGCGTGTAGATGGTTTCTTTTGTAGAGGTCACTCTCTTTAGCTTTCCGCTTTGTATTGTTTTTCCTTGGTGACTTGAGCTTGGTTTTCTCAGGACTTGTTCGAATAAGAAAAAAGAACTCGAATATGAGAACACTAACAACGCAAGAGTCAAAAGTTATCGAAGCAAAAATGAAGAAGAGAGATTAGATTACCTCTTCAAAGGTGCGAGCACTGTAACTGCTTTCAGCTTAGCCGGTGTTAAGACTTCACTTTCAAACCTGCTTAAATGAAATAGCAAAAACCTTTATTAATTACCGAGAAACGAAACACACACACAAAGGAACGTTAAGGCTTGTGTGAGGAATTTTACCTCTGAAAATGCGGGATAAGCGGTGAGAGCTGTCTCCATTTCGTTGAATTCCTTGACAGATTGAACTCAGAAGCAATAGAAAGTATATCATTCAACTCATGACTGCTACTTGAAGAGAACAGAACGTGACCATTCGATTGCACGGAGAACTCTGGATTATCCATCATATCCCTAACAAGATCCAAAACCGGCTTCCCCGATTCTTGATTCAAGTAAAGAACAGAGGAAGCATCATACGGTCGTAGCCGAGAACTGGATTTCATAGCCTGTAGCTCCATCAATTCAGATACCAAAGACATATCGAATCCTTTTTCCTTAAACTCCTCTGACCGAGACATAAGAAACTCCATCACTTTCTCTTGTCTCGCATACTTCTCAGCGATTCCAAAGCTCAAAACCAGAGATTCTGGTACTGTCTCTGTATCAACCATAAAGCAAATTCATGTAAAATTTGGAGAATTCAATAACCAATTTGATAACAAAAGAGAAGCATTTGGCCTTACCATGAACATCCATAAACAGAGGCTTCATCATGGTTGAGTCAATCTCCACAAATTGGTTAGATTTGCTCAATGAAGAAACCGGTTTCCATGGTTCCAAGTGTTCTGGATTCAGATTAAAGGAGCTTGCAGGTATAATCTCTTGTCTTGCTCCAGGATTCACCAAATAAGACCGACCAGTCTGAATCATTTACATATACAACAATTGAAATCAAAAGATGTCAACTTTACAGGAACCCAGATAAAAATCGAACCATTCAACCTACAAATCCAACAATTTGTAGACGAAAGACACAAAATTTACACGAACCCAGAAAACTAAAGCAATCAATTTATCAAACCCAGATAACAATATCGAATTGAAATGATGAATTTAGTTACCTTGATGATTTCGGTGTTAGTAAGGTCTTGAGGAAGATTAAGGCCGGGGATTGAATAGCCATGAGAAGTCATGAAGCAAAGCTTGATCATTTTTTTGTATTTTGATGTGAAGAGAAACCAAATTTCAAACTCGGTCCTCTCTTCTTTTGTTCGTTCAAAAATCCATGAGAGAAAAAGATATAAACAAAAACTTATCTCTACGATTCACCAATGCCTCAGAAATGCGATTTAAGAATCTTCTCGATTTTTGGCTGCGAGAGAACAAGACACTTAGATTTTTGCGGCTCAGATTTATTCAATTAAAAGTTTAAAACCAAAAAAATTTGGAAAAACAAAATATATATGTCGACACAAAAAATATCGACCAAAAAATCAAAGAAAAACTACACATTATATATATAGTTTTGACGTCCATTAACAAATATATATTGTAGAGTTTTACACTAAAAGTCAATCTTTTTAATTAAAAATGCATTACATTTTTCTATTTCTCTCTAGTTGACGAATAAAATATGAATTTGTAAAGTTTTATACAATTTAACTGTAGACAAAGTTGGAATCTTTCACAAAGTTGAACATAAAAAGCACAAGCCTTTAAGAGTTTAATCATATATATTTTTTTTTTTGGTATGAATGTTAAGGAATTTAATCATATTAATTAAATGTATGAAACAAACAATTACATATCCAAAGGATCCAACTTTTTCCCACCAAACAAATTTACAAGAATGAAGCTTCCTCTATCTTTATCTAACATAATGAAACAAAAAATGTATGAACAAGAGACCAAAACAGAGAGTGTGCTACATTAACCTTGGAGAGAGCCTTTGTTGTGCTTATTGGCTACTAGCTTCTGAGTTGTACCGGGTCGTGCTTTGAGAAGTTCTCTTAGTCGGTACAAGAGGATTGCTCTCTTCTTCATCGACTACTCGTGGTCTGTCAAAGTCCTTCCCTTTGAAAACCGGATGCACGTAAGCATCTTTTAAGTATTCCTTGAGGTTTAGATTCGGTTCAGTCGCTTTTTCCAGTGTATCCTTCACCATTGCTTCCTGTTCATGAAAGCCAGTCCCAAAAATTCAGTTGATTACTATGAGTTTATTGCAGCAAGGGCGAGCTTTGACTCATCGATACCTGTAAGGGGAATCTTGAGAAGGCGGATTCAAACCGTCCTGCGCAGTATCTGTTAAACCAAATGGTTAAGATAGGCTGGGGAAGAAGCAGAACTGTTGCTTTTGCAAGTTTCTTTGTGCTGAGCAAACCCATCATCAGAAGCTGTGATATTATTAGACATATGATCAAACGTCTATGCACGTCTGGCCAGTATCTAGCACCACTCTCATATTTCTGGTCGTAGACATTTATAACCTTGCAATAGTAGAGAAAGACGTAATGAAGACATTTGTTTCACATTTAAAAAGAATGCTTTGATATCTTTAGCATTTTAAGGTGTACCTGATGCCTGAAAACAACGTAGGAGAAGGCGAAAAAGACGATGATGAACGGGAGAAGAATGGGGGCAACAGCAGCGTAGACAAGCCCTAGCAAGAAATAGAATTGAATCCGAGGTTCAGTTGTTGCAAAGTCCAGATGACCTGGATCCATTGCCTGCTGCCTGTCTTGTTCCGTCTTAACCAAAAACGCATTTTTCAGATGAAACATGACTAATGGAACCAGTCTGAGTATCTCGGCTGCAATGCCAGCCCAACCATCAACCATGACATAAGTGATGAAAAATGTCGCTTTCATTGGGATCGAAACACCAACAGTTTTCGGGATCCTAATTAGACAGAGAAAGAAGTCGAGATCAATCTTTTTCAAGCCTTATCGGGTAGGAGAATTTGACATAATGAGAACATTTCCAAGTACTTACTCCGTTGGTGGTTGCTCGAGGAAAGATTTAAGCTGCTGAAACGCTGTCCCGGTAATGATGCTTCCAAGAAAGACATTGACTATAATGAACCAGAAATACTTCTCAGCTGATCTTCTATCTAAATAAGACAGCGATGTATATCCTTCGATTTGTGACATTGTCATCAGAAGAGTCGGAAGTAAGATGAGAAAAATCTTTAAAGCTATGCCTGGAAGAAATCCTTGGATTACAGATTTTACAGTCTTCCTACATATGAACAAAAAAAGGAATAGAATACATGGGAAAACGGGTGATCAAGTTCCAAGAAAATAATCGAGAACACAGGGACTTACATTTCAATTAGCGGCTTCAAGAAAGGAAGAACTTTTTGGATTCCTTCAAGGTTGGCAAGAGACTGAACGAATGCTATGGGTATCATGAAGCAGAAAATAAGAAAGAAGAGTGCCATTGTTGTGAGCAATCTTCTTATTGAGAGCTCAACATACGGAATAGAGAGATTATCCCAGTAAACATCACGCGGTTCAGGAGCCCATTCCGTCAACCATATTGTGGGGTTATGACATTGCTGTGTTTGAGCACAAACCGCTGTTCCCCACCGTGATTTGAAGGAAACAAATGCTGCAGGCATTATAGCCTTAGGATCATTCATGATCTTTTCTCTTTCTGTAGCCTCCTGCGTATGTAAAAAATTATGAATCTGCCTACTAAACTTATGATAAAAGATGAAAATGTTTACAGAGGAATAGTTGTATATGTGAGTACATACTATCTCAGCCAAATCATGAATCTTGGAAGTATAGAAGTCAATTGCATCTACTGTAGTTCCCCAAAAACCTCCATAACCTGTCTATATGATAAATTAAATAACTAGAGAAGAGATTTGTAATCGCGATATGCAAGAAATCCAAAAGAGTCTTGCAACAGAGAGTACCTTTGTTGTTGGCCTATTTGATGGTTTCCTCTCGTATTTATTCTCGTAGTAAGTCAACCAATTTTGCATAGCTTTCCTCTGTGCAACGATTTTTGCAAGGTCATTTGCATTGTACACTACCTGGGAACATCAAATAAAACATAAATGACATACTTCAAGTAGAGAAAGCCAAGTAGTTTATTTGACCTCTACGTCGAACAATAATTTACAAATGTTCATGAATTTTACATCCAGGCAACTAAAGAAAGATACCTGATGACAAAGATAATGATCAGGATGATTCACACAGAAGAAGTGTTCAACATGTTCGTTAACTGATTCATCGGGATCTGGAGGAACATTTCTCACAAGTACCTTCAAAAGCAAAATTGGCAATACTTCAAAGAACCATTTTACTTAACGTATACACAGAACCACAAGATTTCATTCAACGCTGTTGTACTGCAAGATTCCACGAATCACAGTGCAGATAAGTAAAAAAGATAGAGTAACTCACAGTGAGTTGATCAGGGCGACGACCTTCAGAAGCTAGATGTCTCAGTCTCATAGTAGCCACAGTCTTGTATTCCATATACAATGTGTAACAAGTCCAGATTGAGAACACGTATGTCATAGTTAAATGTGCCCAAAACCTGGAACCAAGAAACTTCCAGCCGTCTTAGTTGATAAAATAGAAAGCTGCACAATATCATCACACACTTTGTAAACAAGGAAATCAAATTACTATTGCCAACAATATTAACACTAACACTTCAATGCAAATCAAGTTCTTTTTGAGCTATAGCTTGTAGATAACAGTCCACCAGGTTTACTATTGAGCTATGCGGAAATATGTCTCCAATACCTCGGCGATCCTGGTGGAACATTCGATATCGACAGCTTGTCGACGTTACTAAATGTCAAGTCATCGATTTTATCAAGCGTTTCTCCTGTCCAATTGACAGGAATCAAAACTCCAAAAGCAAGTAGTGTTATCGGTATGAATAGTTTCAATCTGCATATTCCACACAACAACAACAAAATTTAGCTGGATCATATCAAGACAATGCAGCTAAGAAAACATGCTTATGCCTCAGTAGAAAGATAAATGGCAATCAAAAGAAGTTACCCGAGAAGGTAAATGCGGATATATACAGCAGAATCAAGCCCGGCGTGTTCGATGAGCTCGGGTTCAGGCATTTGAAGAGCAGCAGGCATCCAATTAAGGAACTTGACATAAGTAGTCCAATCTAAATTGACAAATCTGTTCATGATTCCTCTGGAACGAGTAGGGCTTCCTCGTATCCCTTTGAGATACCATTTTGGGAAGTAAACTCTATCGTTCACTGGTTGAAGCCTAAGCATAGCAAATGCAAAGAGGAATGCAAATGCAGACAAGAGATTTATAGCTGCAGATAGACCAATATCTTGTACAGAAGCCATTCTCTCTCCTTAAACGCAAAATTCACCAATACTGTTTGAGAGAGATTAAGACCCAATAACTAAATCTCTGGAAAAATGATGAAAGATTTGAACTTTTTCAGTTTTGTAGCATTACGTTCAATCGTTTGTTTCTGGGTATGAAAAAGATGATGAAATTGATTACCTGAGATAGCGATTAGGTTACTTTCTGACTGTTTTCCCGAGAAAATCGAGTAGGAGAAAGGAGAATTGGATTCCCGGGAAAAGAGGAGAGAAAATCGCGGCTTGCTTTGAAGATTTCTGTGAACCTCATAGCTGATGAATCAAACAACGGTCTCAAG